TCTTCTATTGCTATGGGTCTGTTGAGATTCTTGACATCCATCTGGGATAGTCTAGGGATGGATTGTTTTTCCAAGTATATGTCCATATCTTCCAAGTTGTTGAATTCATTGGAGTACAGGCTTTCAGAGCACTGTGTAATTATCCTTTTTATTTCATTAGGGTCCATTGTAATGTTCCCTGGCTCATCCCTCATTCTTGCTGTTGAAATTTATTCCTTTCTTTGGTTAGGTTTGCCAGCCGTCCATTGATTCTGTTAATCCTTTCCAAGAACCAACTTTTACCTGCATTAATTTTTCCATAGTTTTCTTGTTTTCCCTCTCATGAATCTCAGCCCTGGTTTTTATTATTTCTTTCCTTTGCTATTAGTAGAATTGTCCTGTTGACTCTGCTCTAATTGCTGTAAGTTTTGTGCCAGCATATCAATCATAAGTCTCTCCCTATTTCATGTGTGCATGTATTGCTATCAAACTTCCTCTGATAAATGCCTTTGCTGTGTCCCAAAGGTTTGGGTATGTCGTATTCTCATTCTTGTTCATTTCTAGAAACTTCCTAATTTCTTCTCTGGTCTGGGCCAGTACTCACTCCTTTTTCAATACTTATTCATCCTCCAATTGTTTACCCTCGTTTTCTTCATCATCCTTCTGTTGATTTCCAGTCTTATGGCATAGTGATCGAGGAGAGAAGTCTGTATGATCTCTATGTGGTTGAATGTACACAGATTTGATTTGTGTCTCAGAGAGTGGTGTATTAAAGTCACCTATCATAATTGTTGAGCCTATAATTTATTTTTTATCTTTTGGAGTGTTTGTGTGATGAAATTCGTGGGTCTATAGTTGGGTGCATATATATTTATCATGCGCATTGATTCTTGGCCTACTGTTCCCTTGAGCATTATATAGTGCCCCTCCTTATCTTTATGGTTTGCACCTTGAGATCTATTTTGTCTGAAATTAGGATGGCAAATCCTGCTTTCTTTGAATTGCCATTTGCTTGGTATATTTTTCTCCAGCCTTTGATTCTAAGCCTATTTTTGTCTGTAATCTTTAGATGTGTCTCCTGTAGGCAGCAGATCAATGGGTTGTTTTTATTAAGCCTGTCTGCCAGCCTTTGCCTTTGAATGCCTGAGTTCAGTCCATTGTTATTTAGGGATATTGCATCCATTTGTGGACTCTGTTGTATCATACAGTACCTTTTTAAAAAATCATTTTATTAGGGACTCATACAACTCTTATCACAATCCATATATACATCAATTGTGTGAAGCACATTTGTCCATTCATTGCCCTCATCATTCCCAATGATAACAATTCATACATCAATTGTATCAAGCATATTTCTACATATGTTGCCATTATTCTTTTCTAGACATTTACTTTCTTTCTTTTATTATTATTTTGTTGGAGGCTCGTACAATTCTCATCACAATCCATACATCCATCCATTGTGTCAAGCACATATGTACATTCGCTGCCCTCATCATTCTCAAAGCATTTGCCTTCCACCTCAGCCCTTAATATCAGTTGCTCATTTCCCCCCTCCCTCATGAACCCTCCATAATTCACAACTTATTATAGTTTGTCATAAGTTACACTGTCAGACGTCTCCCCCTGCCCTCTTCTCTGCTGCCCCTTGCCCAGGGAGGAGGCAATACCTAGATTCTTGTAATCGGTTCCCCCTTCCCACCCCACATTCCCTTCACCCTCCAGGTCTCGCCTCTCTCAACACTGGTCCTGAAGGAGTCATCTGTCCTGGATTCCCTGTGTTTCCAGTTGCTATCTGTAACAGTGTATATCCTCTGGTCTAGCCAGATTTATAAGGTAGAATTAGGATCACAATAGTGGGGGGAAGGAAGCATTTAAGAACTAGAGGAAAGTTATATGTTTCATCGTTGCTACCCTGAACCCTGATTGGCTCATCTCCTGCCCTCAACCCTTCAGCGAGGGGGTGTCCAGTTGCCTACGATGGACTTTGAGTCTCCACTCTGCACTCACCCAACTTTACAATGATATTTTTTGTGTTACATGTTTAACTCCTTCCCTTTCTTATCAGTATTTTGTTTATGTGCGTGCGTGTATGGTTCATTCTTGCCTTCTTTCCACCCCTGATCCAATGCTATCTTGGGGGCTGTTTTCTCCTTGTTGCCCTCTGGGTGGGTTTGTTCTATGTGGTGGTTTCTTATTTGCATTCAGTGAGTGCTGTTCTTCTGCCCATACTGGATCGGCAAGGATCTTTTGTAGGTCTAAGTTTCTTTTAACATAGTCTTTGAGTTTTTCCTAGTCTGTGAAGATTCTTAATTCTCCATCTGTCTTGATAGATTATTTGACTGGATAGAGTATTCTTGGTTTGCATTATTTTCCTTCAAATTTTGGAGCATGTTACTCCACTCCCTCCTATTCTTCATAGTGTCAGCTGATAGGTCTGAGCATATCCTTATTTTGGTGCCTTTATAGGTGACTGCTCATTTTCCCCTAGCTGCTCTCATGATATCCTCCTTTGCTTCAAAGTTGGATAGTTTAACTCTTATATGCCTTGGTGACTTCTTGGGTTTCAGTCTAGCTGATGTTCTTTTGGCCTCCTGAATGGTTGCCTGGTTTTCATTCATTAAGTTTGGGAAGTTTTCCTCTAAAAATTCCCTCGCTATTTTTGCTATTGACTTCTTCATTGTGTCTTCTTGTTCAGGTAGCCCAATTATTCTAATTTTCTTCCTCTTCATAGCATCAGACGTGGACCTCGGATTTTCTTCAGCTTCTCTGATTATGTTATTTGACTGCCTTTCCCTTTTGTTGAAGTCTCCCTGGTTATTCTCTACTTCATTTGTGTGATTCTCTGCCTCCTCATGTCTGTTGGCAAAGTCTGTGAATTTTCTATTGGCTTTTATCTCATCCCTTAGGTCTTGCATTTCCCTTTGGTGCATGGCCTTTCTCTTCTCTAGCATTTCATCCCTTTTCTGTATAGCTTCCCTCATATCCTGTATGACTCCTAGAACCACTCTGAAGATTTCTTTCTGTGGCAGATCAATATCTGCTTCTTCCATGCACTTCATTGGGTTCAAAACTTCTTCCAACCTTACCTTTTGTTTCTCATGTTTTTTTCTGTTGAGGTTGTTGGAGCTGATTGCTATTTGCGTTTTGTTGTTTTCGAGGAGCCCGGCACCATTTTCCAGAGAGTCAAAGAACACTAGGCTCTCTTCAGGAGACTCATAGGAATGTTTATTCGAACTGTCTGCAGCTCACTGCACTGTGGGGTCAGGCAACAGCTTTACCTTCCTTTGTTTTCACCGTTTTCCTAGCCAACCAGTATTCTATTATTTGGAGGGCAATTTGCATGGTCCTCTCAGGGGACGCTGGTTGGGTGTTTGTGGACCTGCAAGGATGGTGTTTCACTGCATGATCTCACAGGAAGCCATGGTGGTGTGGCCCATGGTGGCTTGGGGTGTCTCAGAGGGTGTTCAGCAGTGCCTGCTGCAACAGGAGTGCCTTGGAGGGCAGGTAGGGTTGCCGGCTTTGGTGTAGAGCACTGCAGATGGTGGGCGGAATTGTCCTACTCAGCTAGATCACTGCGTAGGTCAGGTAGAGGTTCCCACAGCAGTGCGGAGTTCTGGAGAGGGTTGGGAAGCTGACTTTGACTGTGTGAAGCACTACAGTTGGCAGGACAAAGTTCCTTCAGCTACATGGGACTACAGAATACAGGAAGGGTCTCCCCCAGCCATGTGGAGCACTGTGGAAGTTGGGTAGAGGTTCCTCCAGCCAAGTGGAGCACCCCAAAGGGCAGGCAGGTGTTCCCCAGGCCATTTAAAGGGCCTTGGTGGGTAGGCGGGTGTTTCCCTGAGGTGGGAAGCGTGTGGGATTTCCCCAGCCATGTGTTATGCTACAAAGTGCTGGAGCTCCCCCAGCTGGGTGGAGGGCTAGCATAGGCAGTGGCATGTGAGAGGAAAGAGAAGAGGAGAAAAACTGAGCCCGTTGAGACTGTTGGGGGACAGGGAAACAAAAGTAAAGATATAACTGAGTCCTGATTGCCAAACTGACCATGGGGCTGGAGGGGTTTAAACCCTGACCAGAGGTGGCAGCAAGCTGTGTCTGTGTTGACGTAAAGCCTTTGGGCTGGCCAAGGGAGTCCAGATATGGCCAAGTCTGTGTTACGGCTTAGCCAGGCTCCACAGTGGTAATCCAAAAGCCCACAGCTTGTCAAAACCAAGTGGATCTGTGTCTACTTATCTTTATGATGCTCCTCCTGTGACCCAGCCGAGTCTAATTTCCCTCTCAGTCACTCTCCTGCATTGATTTCTGCAGAGTCCCTTTGGTATGTGTTACTCAGTTGCAATCTTGCCGGAAGTCCCCTGGAATTGACTCTTAACAACTTTCACAAATCCTGACACGTGAGGCACCAATGAGCACTGACCTTTCTCTACACAGCACCTTCAGCGTCACTGCCTGTGATCCTCACGCAACTCTCCTCCTAATGTGCAGGTGCCTGGACTGGAAACATGACTGCGTCCCAGACTAATGCCCCAGGTTAGGGGGTGGGAGAATTGAGAACACCCAGGAGTGGGACTGAGGAGGTCAATACAAACTTTTTTTATCATATGTCTAGCCTAGTTCGGATGGTGGTAGAAGAAAGCAAAACTGATCTGATGACATATTTGGGATCTATAATTATTGCACTTAAATAACAATATTCTAACCCTTTATGTTGTATACCATGCCTAGCATTGCTGTAAAATTTCACTGAGGGACTAGGCATTAGGCTGCTAATTGCAAAGTCAGCAGTTCAAACCCAGCTAAACCATGGATGAGGCTGTTGACTCCCATAAAGATTTGTAATATTAGCATCCCTATATAGGGTCACTATGCATCAGAATTGACTTTATGACAATGGTTTTTTTTATATAAATGTTATTAACCCCCAACAAAATATTCTTTGTATCCTTTTATCACTAATGTATTGTTTTGAAAATGATTTTGCCTGGTTTGCTGTCTTCTAACCACTTCTCAATTGTCAGGGTTCAAACAGGCAAATTGTCAGAGTTCTTGACAACTTCTTGCTGCACATACTTGAGCTTCATGGATCCTGGGCCTGAGGGTAAGCTGTATGGTGATGATTATGATGACAGTCAGCTGGAATTTGGTGACTGGATGGATGACTTTGATTCAACTAGTAATGGTAAGGAGGTTTATAAAGGTTTTATAAAGATTACAATATATTGTTTGCATCTTACTTAATATTTCATGCTGCCAGCAGTCTCACAATGTATCATCCTCACTTCTACTTAATACGCTTACATTTATACTTTTGTTTGGCTTTACTTTTCATCCCTCCACTTACCCCTGGATTTTGATCCAATAACCCCATGGTGTTTATAGAGTTATGATGTTGGACTGTTCTTCAGTAAGTTTAGGAAGATTTCTTTCCCAGGTATATGAAATGGCTGTGATTTTTTAATGGGAGGAAATTGATGAATGAGAGATATTAAGAATCAAATATGTAGTAGAAAAAGTATACAGTACCAATTTTTAATATTATAAGGCAAAAAAAAAACATTTATTAAAGACCTGGTTTGTTTGTTTTTTCATATGAGGACCCTGTCAGAATCTCTTGGGGTAGAATAAAAAATATATTCAGGATGTATTTTAATTATGGTGTTGGAAAATAATATTGAAAATGCCATGGATTGCCAAGAAAACAAACCAACATGTCTTAGAAGAAGTGAGGATGGTGAGACTTCTTCAGTATGAGTCTCATGTAATTTAGCCAAGTTACCAGGAGAGACTAGTATCTGGTAAAGACAACATGCTTGGTAAAATAGAGCATGAGAAAAAAAAAGAGGAAGACCTTCAACCAGATAGATTAACATAGTGGCTGGATAACAGCAATTGTGAAGATGGTACAGGGCTGGTCAGTGTTTCATTCTGTGTGTATGGAGTCCCTATGAGTTGGAACCGAATCAATGGCACCTTACACCAACATCATTGTTTTCATAGAGGACAGTGGTAGTTCAATGGTAGAATTGTCGCTTTCTGTATGGAGGACCAGGTCTGATGCCCGGCCAGTGAACCTCAAGTGTAGCCACCACTTGTTTTGCCGGTGTAGATTTGCAAGTTGTTGTGATGTGGTTTCAGCAGAGCTTTCAGACTAAGACTCTGAAGAAAGGCCTGACAATCAATCTACTTCCCCACATCAGCTAATGAAACCCCAATGTATCAAAAGCATACAATTCTCTTATGTATTGAGTCACTATGAGTTGGAGGCCAATTTAGCAGCCAACAACAAATTGTTTTCCTACTACAAACTAGACAAAATGAAGCACAACAAGATTTTTATGTGCTGATACAGATATGGAGATTATACAATGAGAAAACATTTGGGTATCAAGGGTTTTAAATGGATGAGAAACATTACCCTAAAATGTTAAAATATTGACAAATATTAAATTATTTGAATTCCAAGGAAAGAAGAGTCAATAATAATTATTCTAGTTATGCATTCTCTGTCTTTGTATTTGACCATTAGTCTGCAGTCTATTTCTGTGTCTTGAATGTCTCATAAAAGAGTAGAGACTCTATGTCTATCTATATAAGATAGGCAGGACAAACAATTCCAAAGAGAAAACAATGGAATCGGTGGTCCCAGAGGGACATAGGAGAGGATAGGGTGGGGAGGGGGAGGGGGAAGCCAACAAACTCAGGGATAAGGGAACAACAAGAGATCTAAAAATGATGGTGAGAATACATGTGCAATGTATCCAAGAGGGATTACTGAGAGCTGAGTGGAGGGTAAGCATGATGGTCGGACAAGAGGAAGGTGAAAGGAAATAGAGGAAATAAGTAGGACTCAAAAGCTAATTATAGAGGTATAGCTTATAGGCATGTATATATGTAAATATATTACTTTATAATGAAAGCGATAGAGACCAATATCCACATATTTTTATCTTAAGTATTAAGATAGAAGATGGACTTTGGGCCTCTATTCAAGGCCTCCCTAAATACAATAATACTGTGCTCCAATAACCTGGCATTCTTTGATACTCACCTTCCCAACACAATCACTGAAGCAAAATGGGTGCATAAACAAATGTGGTAAAGAAAGTGGATGGTGCCCTGCTATCAAAAGATATAGTGTCTGGGGTCTTAAAGGCTTGAAGTTAAACAAGCAGCTATCTAGCCGGGAAGCAAATAAGCCCACATGGAAGAAGCACACCACCCTATGTGATCATGAGGTGAGGACATGATCAGGTATCGAAAGATCCAAAACAAACAATTTTATCAATGACCCAAAGCCCATCTGTAGACAATTGTACATCCCCACACAGAAGGGTTACAAGAAAGGGACGATTCAACCAGGGTGCAGTATAGCACTGACGAAACACATATTCCTCTAGTTCCTGAATGCTTCTCCCCCACCTCCCACTACCATTACCCATTTCTACCTTATAAATCCAGCAAGACTGGAGTACACACATTGGTACAGATAAGAGCTCTGGACACATGGAATGCAGGACAGATAAAACCCTCAGGAACAGTAGTGGGAGTTGTGATATCATGAGGGTAGGGGGATGGCGGGGACGGGGGCGGGGGTGGGAGAGAACAGCAGAACCCATCACAAGGTTAGATATCTAGCCCAATCCCCAGGGGGACAAATAACAAAAATGTGGGTTAAGTGAGACAACAGATAGTGTAAGACATGAAATAACAACAATAATGTATAATTGATCAAGGATTCATGAGGGTGGGAGTGTGGGGGAGGGAGGGAGAAAAGAGGAGCTGATACCAAGGGCTCAAGTAGAAAGAATGTTTTAGAAATGCTGATGGCAACCTGTGTACAAGTGTGCTTAATACAATTGAATGATGGATTGTCAAAAGATTCATAAGAGCCCCAATAAAATGATTAATAAAAAAATAAGCTAGGAAAAAAATAGTATGGACTATATCTTTTTTACCACTGAAACCTTAGCACATAATACAGTACCTGATACATAGTGGGCAATAAATATTTGGTGAATGAACAAATGAAGTAACTAAGACGACCAATGTGTAACTAGCACTTTCTACACCATGTTCACATGAAAATTGGTCTTTCATTTACAACTGTAGTTGACATTTGTGGATTCTAGTTTTAACTTCACTCAAAGTTTGGTGGAAGATTTTTGCCCCTCCCAGCCCCTTTCTCATGAAAGCACCCTATGTTCTGCATGTTTTACCACCACTAGAACTGCTGCCACTACTCTATCACACACATGTGTTTATTTGTTCCACCTTGCCTATAGTAACCTCATAATACTTTTAGGGGCCTTAACGTTGTCTTCATTGTTAACAAATTATGGATAGTTTTGGGAAGAATGGGAATCCCTGAATACTATGTTGTGCTGATGCGGAACCTGCGCATGGATCAAGAGACAGTTGTGGGAACAGAACAAGGGAATGTTGCGCTGTTTAAAATCAGGAAAGGTATGAGACAGGGTTATGTCATCCCACCATACCCATTCAATCTGTATGCTGAGCAAATCATCAGAGAAGCTGGGTTATATAAAGAAGAATGTGGCATCAGGGTTGTTTATTAACACCCTCCGATATGCAGAGGAGGACTTGAAACACTTGCTAATGAAGATCAAGGATTTTAGCCTTCAGTATGTATTATAATACAATGTAAATATTACTCACTGCCAATGAATAGATGCCTATATGACATACCCTATATGTGATAGGGTAACACTGCCTCTCTGAGTTTCTGAGACTGTAACTCTTTATGTGAATAGAAAGCCTTTTCTTTCTCCCTTGGAGTGGCTGAGGGCTTCTGGTAAATTGCCATGGTTTTTGAATCTTAAGGCTATGAGATTCTGGAACAAAGGAGCCCTCAAGAAACTGACGACTAGTGCTGTAGTATGGACACAGGAGCAAGTCATTCTGTTTGCTGGGGTAAATTATAAAGTACTAAAATGTTCATTTTTTTTTCCTTCCTCCTATTGTCACTAAACTTGCAGCTCCTTGTGGTGATGAAGTTACTCGTTATTTAGATCACCTTTTGGCACACACTGCTCCCCATCCTAAACTACCCCCTGCCTCACAGAAGGGAGGGCTAGATCGATTCCGAGCTGCCGTGCAAACAACCTGCGACTTAATGTCCTTGGTGACCAAGGCCAAGGAGCTGCATGTACAGAGTGAGTAATATCATGACTCACTAGAGTCACAACAGGATAATATGAAGACCAACATGAGGGTGGGGCATTCATTATAATGACAGTCGGAACTTTGTTTTATTCACCGCTTTATCCCCAGCATCTATGACAACACTAGAACCTATTGGATGGACATTCAATAAATATTTGTAAAATCAAAGAATTATGTTTAATTTACTGTCAATAGTGTTATTTACTCTGAGTTAACTAATGCCATGATGAGAAGCTGTAGAACAGGCTTTATGGAGCATATTCAATTTTAACATCAATGCACAAAAATGGTAGAAAACGTTTTTTCCTTTGTAATATTGCCCCTTTGACAAAAATTTTATTTAAAGAGAAAATAATGTAAAACTATTACTATGGAGCTACAGCTCCCTTCCTGAGGCAAGCTGTAACTTTGAGAGTCAGTTGTTCCAGGAATGTAGAGCTGTCTTTTTCAAATATGTACTCACTCTTCAGCCTCTTGGTCATTTTCCTACCTATTACCACTACCTTCCTTCAGTAGTACTTACAGGGGATGATGTCCTTTATTACACATTGCTAGGAATAGTTATGCTTCCTAGAAGTGTTTAATGTCTTTATGGAGCGACATATGAAGGGACAGTAGGGCACCTTGGCCACACTGTAAAGACTTGAATGTTAACATTTTACAGATAATTAAAATGATTGAGATGCATGTTCTTGCTACCTAAAATTTATTGACTGTTACTAACTAAAGATATTAAACATAATTATTGGAAAATAACATTTAAAAGAGTGAAATGTTTTAGGATACCCTTGAGTATACTCCCTTGCCAATGAGCTTATGTGAAACGGTGGACTTTATGAAGTTACATTTGTTGATTTTGAATCAGGAAACCTGAGTTTAAATCCAAATTCTGCTACTTACTTGTTGGAACAGTTATTTGAGCTCCATGTCTCTCTTCATGACCTTACAGGCTAAGGTAAGTATTTCAACAATGGGCTGTAAAAAATTTTTTAGGACTATCTCAAATTTGGTCAGCCACTACATTATTTGATTCCCTAGATAGGATCATCCATTGACATTTTCTCAAGAGAACTCCATCTTTTACCTGGAATACAGTGTTCTAAGAAAGTCTAGGAAAAATGAAAAATAGCTGGGCCTTTTCTGATATTTTAGAGTTCTTCAGAAATTTTGGGGGTAAATGGAATGAAAATATGATGGATCTTTTTTCATTATATTTGAAACCCTCTCATATGTGATAAATCTATCAAAGTATCATTGACAATGCCACTGTGCTATTTCTTACATTAATAGAATATC